TTGATCCTGTTTGTGGCATTTGTTGCGTTTTAATTGCACTGACATTGTTTGATAATTTGTACCATGTAAACCACATTGAGTCGCCGGTATAGAAATAAAGCAAATAAATAAATAAAAAGTTTCTCATTCATAGGATTATTAACAGCTATTAATTGCTATTATTAACAGCAATTAATCCACAATTGTCTCCATATAAGTGTTACTCTATTATCTTTCTCTTTGCATTTGGCCATTGAAAGCAAGTTAATAGACTCCAGTATGACATTTCTGTTTTGGTGCCTTGATGGATGGACACTGCTGTCATAAAATGATGAACACACCCAGGAGATTAAGACACACAAACCTAAATTTCATTGCCAATTCCAACTAGAATAGATCCATTGATTCATAGTTATATAAACTGCACTGCTACCATGGATTTACTCCAGTTGAGACTAGCAATTAGATTAAGGTCATGGCAGACATACCTGAGCATTCCCTCGAAAAGTTGCTTCCACTTGCGCTTTAAGGATGTTGCATTTCAAATGTTCAGGTACAGAGGAGGGTGACGACAACAGATGATGATGAAAGTTCCTCTCTGAGGTTTTCTTATTTTCACTCTGTCATTAAGATAGGAAGAGACACTAGTGAATAGAAACAGATACTCAGTAATCAAGGAATATTTCTTATAGAGCAAAAACTTTGAAATGCTTCAAATGCATTCTGGAGGAGTCTGGGCCCACATCCGACAGGCAGGCTCGTGCCTCCGGCAGCCCGGAAAGCAGTGACAGCCAGGTGTGGGAGGATCCACCACGTGGCCTGGCCTTACATGGAGCCTCTTGCCTGGCTCACATCCCTGCCGGCTGACAAGTGGCAAGAGCCAGGCGAGGCAGGCTTTGCATGAGGTCAGGCCTTGCGCGGAGGACCCCTCACCGGCCTTGCGGCCTTGCTGGACGGCGAGCATGTGAGGCAGGTGAGGTAGGCTTTGCGCGAGGCCAGGCCTCGCGCGGAGGAGCCCTCACTTGCCTCGCGTCTTTGCCAGATGATGAGAGTGTGAAGCAGGCTTTGTGCGAGGCCAGGCCCTTGCACAGAGGACCCCTCGCCTGCCTTGCACCTTTACTGGACGGCAAGAGTGCGAGGCAGAATTTGCACGAGGCCAGGCCTCATGCGAAGGAGCCCTTGCCTGGCCCGCGCCCTTGGGGTGGGGCCAACAGAGGTGGCCTCGCAACCCCTCCGAAATGGCCAGGCATCCCTCTGGGGGTCGCAACCACCAGGTTGAGAACCGCTGTTCTAGAACATAAGAAGCAACTATATGGGATATATGGAATAATTTCCTCCCCCAAACCCTAGTCAACCATGCACCTCAAAAGAAGCTCAAATACCTATATTTCCTCTTCATTCCCACTCAACATGGCAAGAAGATGCAATGTCAATTCACTTCACTTCAGAAGGGAATTGAGGTATTGGGGGCTCTGGATGTAGTGGTAGGTATTTTCGAATGTGTCCATGCTGCTGGGAAGCTTTCAGGATGGTTTTATGGGAAAATATTTGAAAAGTGCACAATTTAACAAATTTTAGTTTGGGGGCCTACAGGCCACACAGTTTAGGACAAGCCATTTCGCTCTTTCTGACTTAAATAATCTCTTTCCATGAGGAAATACACTTGGGATGAGTTGCTGAGATTAAATCCTGACAAGCCTCTGGGTTTGCAGTCTCAGCCCCTGATTTCTGCAGTCAACTGATTTCCATCCCTACAAATACTTTTCAACCTCATCAGAGAGATTTTGCTAAACAAGGCACTCCCAAGCACATATTCCTGTCCCGTACCTTATTGATGCTGATATGCAGAGCTGGCCATGGTCCTACTACTTTCACAGTCTCGACTTCCATCTTTTGGCGAGGAGTTCCTGGATGCCCAAAATGAGGAAAGAAAACAGCCTGAAAATAAAGTACAAAGTCTGCAAAAAGAACAAAATCACTACTTTTGCCACAAAACTGAGTTTTACATTTTGGTTCATTCTCTTTGGAAAAATAGCTGTGTGTATCAGTCATAATAATCAAGTATTAAAATATGACATTAGTGGCTGTTAGTTACCCAACAATAGACACTGTTTCTGTTCCTTGACCTAATGAATATGATCAGAAGGTTCAGCTAGGGCCCTATCTACACTATGATATAATGCAGTTTGAAACTGCATTATAGGGTCAGTGTAAATTCATATAACACAGTTCAACTGCACTGTATATATCTGTATATGGCTTTCAGCTTAGATTCCTAAGTTAATTATATTAATGTCCTAACAATGATACGCTTATTTTAAAGTTTTAATTCTCTTCACCCTTAACTTTGATATGCTTGTACCAGACTATGTCCCTCTTTTCTCAAATTGGTCACTAACCGTAAAAAAGTGAAATCCTGCAAGGATTTAAGGCAGGACCTTTTGAATTCTCTACCACAGGGATCCTCCCCTTCCCAAACTACATTTCCCAGAATTCTGTGCTGTCTCTTTCCCAGCTCACTCAGTTTGTCCCGCCCTACTGCTTTCCTCTCCTCATGGCTAGAGGCTAATAATTTAAAGAGAAATTGCAGCCTTTTTAACTTCCCTTTGCTTGTGCTGATAATGAAACTGACTTTGCTAGGCTTCTGAGCATTACAGAATTCAAACAAAAAAGTCTTGGGTAAATTCTGATTCTTAACTTTTTGCATGGGCGCCCTCCCCCAGCGTTTCTCAATATACGTTTGTATATATAAAAATGTATGAATGAGATATGACTTACTAAATAGAAACCAAATTTGGGACACCCCTAAGATTCAGAAAGGTAAGAGCCAGCAGGGATGGAAAGGATAGATTTTCTGTAGTTTGGGTAGGAGGGAGGAGGATGCAAGGAGGATTGGAGGGCACTGACATCCCACTTCCCTGGCCTGCCTGAACCCAGGGAGTGTGGAATGTCTATCCCTGCTGCCCCAAAATTGGGAAAAGTCTGAATCTTCCTGGGTAATTCAGACTTTTCCCAGTGTTATTTTAATCTGTGGTCAAGATGGATTAATTGCCTACTCTGAGTTCAATCACATTAGCCTGTATGTATCTTGTAGATTGCTACACTGCATTAAAAGGCAGTGTAGATCAGGTCTAAGGTGGGCCTTATCTAGACTTATTCTAGTTCTGAAAGTACAAAAAACATAATGGATTTGGACCATTAGTTCCTATGTCTCATTCTGTCTCTGTTTCTATTGTTAATTTGACGTTCTGGTTTTACAAGCATACTGCAATCTTTCCCTGAAACACTGCTCTGAAGACAGTAAAAATGTCAAGTATTATAGCTCTTGTTTTTTAACAATACTATATAATATGTACTTGGAGCAATTAGTAAATAAAATAAGTTAAATGTATAGCCCCCTCATATCTTTTATACCTTTTATATAATATATTACAACCTGTTACTAGTTTATCTTTAAATATATTTCACCATATTAATGTTTGATACTTTCTGTTCACACTTCAGATAGTTTAAAAATGTCAGTTGAGTTTCTGGTCTTCAAGCTTTATACTACAAATTAAAAAGGAAGTCAAAAAGCTCATATTTATTAAAAAAGTTGAAGGGAAAAATCATTTTAATAAGCTTACTCTAGACTTAAAAGAAACGTAACCACATCTATTTTTCACCATTTTTGGCTTAGGTGTTAGTCATAGCAACTTAAAACAATTAAAACCAATGAAAAAAAATTCCATAAAATAACAATATAGTAAAACAGATGCAATAAATTATACCAGAATTTATCTACCTATCTCCTTGAGGCAATGTGGTCTAGTGTTGGACTATGACTCTGGAAACTAAGGACCTTATCCGATGGGTGAGGAGAAAGTGGGGGAAAGCAGGGGAAAGTGGAGGGAACTGTCGTACACTGTTACCTTCCATCTTTCCCTGTCTTCAGAGATGGCCAGCCATCCCACATGTTTACTTGGCCTTTTTCCATCTTCTCCCGCATTCTGCCACTTGGCCTTTGAACTCTGATTCCATGTGCTTAGGGAATACAGCGCTATGGAGCCTACCAAAAGTGCCCTTACATCATGTGATGGGCTCCCTTTCCTAAATGCATGGAAACAGAGCCTGAAGATCGTCTGATGAGGTCCTAAGACTCCAGAGACCAGGATTCGAATCCCTGCTTCACCAGGGAAACCTCTGAGGCCGGGTCACATTATCTCAGATAAAATCAAAGGCAAAACACTTCTGAACAAATCTTGACAGGAAAATGCTGTGATAGGTTTACCATAGGGTTGCCATAAGTCAGAAATAACTTGAAGGCACATAATTATAACTTATCTATCCAGGGAAATGGTGATGTGTTGAAATATTTAAATGCTTACCCTCCAGACAAACACCATTCCATAATATGGAATTCTGCTCTAAAGGCCCTCTTCCTACAGATGAGGCTGTGCATTGAAGATTATTAAGGCATACAAAGGAGGAAGTGACAATACTTTTAAAGTCTAAGAAATCTTTTAAAAGCGGAGGGCAAGGTACAAGATTTAACAGATCCCATTTTCAAAGTCAAATGTCAAAATCTTGCTTTAAAAGGAAAATAAAAGAAAATCCTAGACAGAGAACTACAAAATTAAAAACTACTTCTTCTTCTTCATCTTCTTCTTCTTCAAATCCTCGCAGTATCTTTTAAATTCATTGTACAATATCTATACATAAAAAATTATTGGTGATCATAAAATCATAGAATCAAAGAGTTGGAAGAGACCTCATGGGCCATCCAGTCCAACCCCCTGCCAAGAAGCAGGAATATTGCATTCAAATCACCCCTGACAGATGGCCATCCAGCCTCTGCTTAAAAGCTTCCAAAGAAGGAGCCTCCACCACACTCCGGGGCAGAGAGCTCCACTGCTGAATGGCTCTCACAGTCAGGAAGTTCTTCCTCATGTTCAGATGGAATCTCCTTTCTTGTAGTTTGAAGCCATTGTTCCGCGTCCTAGTCTCCAAGGAAGCGGAAAATAAGCTTGCGTCCTCCTCCCTGTGGCTTCCTTTCACATATTTATACATGGCTATCATATCTCCTCTCAGCCTTCTCTTCTTCAGGCTAAATATGCCCAGCTCCTTAAGCGGCTCCTCATAGGACTTGTTCTCCAGACCCTTGATCATTTTAGTCGCCCTCCTCTGGACAACTCCTCTAATCAGGCTATAACAAAATAATTTTTAAAAGATACTTTTTTCTTTAAAACCAGCTTCATTACATAAAGGTATGAACACAACATCACTTGAGGCTGATTGTCCCTTGCTGCTTGTTAGAAAGAAGTATTCTTGATGATCAAACACTCCCACTTCACATTGTCTTCCAAACAATCTTCAACCATAAAACAGATGACTTAATTTGGTAGACTTACTATTTGGGCTCGGAATGATAGGTACAGAATCCTTGCTATCCGGTGGCACAAGTCCTCCATAATGAAGATGGTGGTGATGGTGGTGGTGATGTCTTGCTGTTATTTTTGTAGTATATGACGTTCCACCATTTTCTTCAATGTGAAACGGCGGGCCTTCAGTACTGTTTAAAGGGTAACTGTGGAACACAATTGTGGTCCAAATTAGAACATTAAGAAATAACACATTATATTTGAGATGGAACAGTAACAATAATCTAGAAGTTGCCATCAAAGATCTTCATGTTGAAGTATGCTCCTAATGGCTCCTGAGCACCTCTCAGGTCTCATAAATGTTTTACTAGTTCTCAACACAGATGGAGGTGATGAAAAAATAAGACCAACACAAGCAGAATATTCTAAATAAGTATAACTGGATGGAGGCTAAAGTCCAAGGCTGCCATCACATTGAGGGACCAGAGTTATCTACAGGGATTTTTTTAAGGTGGAGGAAAAAAAGGAAAATACAGACCACTCAGCCTGGTTGAGGACAATCTGTGTGATCTTTGCAGGATTTAATATCTAGTATGCTCCAATGTGGTGTAGTGTAGTTAAGTGCCGAGATGTGGACATGGCCCTTGGTCAACCACTGATATGTGACTCTCACTTCCTACATTAAGGTGAATACCAACTGAGCTCTAAAGATTGACATGTTTACAATGAAACAACAGCAAGAAAATCTTCATTTCAAAAATCCTCCTTGAGGTAGATTTCCATCAAATCTCCAACATCCCATGTGTCTGGCGACATCAGTGTTTGTGAATGAAGTGGCTTGTTTACATTTCATTTCAATTTACCTTCAGTACCAGTCATGAGACAAAGGACTTCTTTCATGATTTTTGTGGAGAAGCTATATTGGCCATTGACTGAGGGATTGTATCGTTGTTGGTATGCTACATCTCTCAGCAACATTTAGTACTATTGGAAACTCCATGGCATCATTTATGCATTCTGTAGTTCCAGTCTGGATTTCAGAGTCTATATTGACACTTTTAAAATGTCCTAGTTTATCTCATCTCCTTCCAGTTTTGCTCTTTGCCTTCTAATTACATCATTGCAAACAAATGGGGAGAGGATGGTGCAGAGTCTTGCCCTCCTGAAGATGCATGCCTTCAAATCAAATGTGGATTTATGACAACACCATGAATTTCAGTTTTTCCCCCCCTCAGGCAATAAGTAGTCAGAGGTGCTTTTGTTCATTCTTTTCTCTGAATTATTGCCTACAGTACATGGTATGTGTTGTCATTTAAGTGCCAACCAGAACTGATCCTGCTTAGCTTTAAAGTTTACACAGAATCCAATTACTTTAGGGCACATGTATCAAATGCAAGGCCCGTGGGGCAAATTTGACCCACCACATCATTTTATGTGACCCATGAGGCTTTCAATGCCAGGGCAACATAGTTACATTTATACCATTTTATAATTGCAAACAGCCCTTTGAAGGCAACCATAGGGCTGATGTGACACTTAGGAAAAATGAGTTTGACACCCATACTGTAGGGTATTTTAGCCTTCTCAGTAGGCTCAGGCAAAAGAAAAATGCTACATCCTGACTGTTCTCTGAAGTTGCTTGGCTATACACCTATCTGGGTTGTCATCTGTGAGACTTCGATTATATTCCATTATGACCCAATTATAATTTTGCATTTTATCTGGCGTTTACTGCTGTGGTTGAATTTGTCTCACTTTTCCAACACTGTTTTTCCTTATTGTTATTATGTCATTATGTCAAAGAGATCTCTGTGAAAGAAGAGGGAAGATAATTCCAGAGCCATTGCATTTCCATCCCCCCACCCCCCCTTAAATTATGGCAGCTCTTTTAGGGCCTCTACTGGTAGCTAAACAGGTTGTAACAAATAAAGTTGAATGTTGTTGCATGCCTTTAACTTTGGCTTGTGCCGATTTTATTCTTGGCCAGATTTCCCCAGGGGAGGATTGCCACTTCCATCCTTGGAGGCTGAGAGAGGTAATGGGCCAGAAGTTGTTTCCATGTCTGAACATAAATCAAATATGGGACTCCTGGCGTCCCAGTCCAGTTTTCACAGTACTACTACTATTGCTACTACCGTGCAACCTTCTGTTAATATACCTCTGAGTTAATTTCTGTTAATAGGGGACTCATTACAGTAGCTTGTGCGATTTCCCCAAGTAGGAAGCCAATGTACAAAACCTATACCTGTACAAGGATATTTTTCATAAACACGAAAATCTGAGATGTCTCTCACATACTGTTTTTGCTGTTTCTGTGCTTGTGTGGCAACTACAGTGTTCCTGTTTTCTTTTGCGCTGAGCTGTACTTTGCAACATTTATCCTCTCAAAGAAACGGGAAATACAAGTCAGTATTAGTTTACACACGTGAAGCATCAATGGTTATACTCTATAGTTTAGATTAGCAATGATTAGAGTTTTAAAACTCTCTCATCTAGCAGCTAGAATGCTAGCACATGATGTGACTTCTCTACTGAGATACTATATAATCCCACTTGCTCTGAAGCAAGTTGAGACATACTGATTCACACATTATGTAAATTTAGGCATACCAGTGATCCTGTGTATCCTGTGACAAAGCAGCATACATTTTTTTTAAAAAAAAACCCTATGTTATTTACTGAACTATGGCCTGTATAGCTCAGTACTTTCCATTTTAAGTCACAGTAGTTCTCCAAGGTATCAGCCGTGCCTTCTACCTAGGATACTGGGGACCTTATGTATGCAAATCATGTGCCTCCAAGGTATGGCTCACTGTCAGTTTCAGGGAAGCATCCAGAGGGAATCATGCATAAGACTTTCCTTGCACAGTCTAGCACAGCACAGGGTTTTTAAAACCACAATAAAGTGTTTTTCTTAAAAGATTTAAAATCACACTTAGTCAAGCATATAGTTATTTTATTGCATCAGACTGGATAGCCTTAATATGACCTTGCATTCTCATCCCAAGCACACTTATCAGAAAGGGCCACATTCAGGATGGGGAATTTTGAAGATGATGAATAATCATATCCATGAACCTATATTTTAAAGTGAAAAATGATTTTGTTAATGAGTTATTTCCTTAGAATGAGGATAAAAAATTAATCAGATTACTGTAATACTTCTAAAAGTTACTGAAGTACAAAATACCCAATATGATGACCATGGTGTCATTTTGGGTTCCTTCCCCTTACTGATTTTAACAGGAATTTGGAGGCTGGCATGTTGCAATATGACACACTGGTCTCTAGCTCTCATTCAAATATGTTCAGTAGCCTTCTTAGTTAGGGTATTGTAAACTGTTGATGGGACTTGTGTGTAACCCTGCTACAATTTATTATTTTGTACAGAAATGTATTATTCAAATATTTTATCTAGCCTAGTTGCTAAGAATGATTTGAATCAGGGATTACTTTAAAGAGATACATTTAGGGATGACTGAGCCATGCCAAATGGGGCCTCTGTGTAAAGATATGCACTGAATCAGTGGTTTGGTTGGCACCCTGCTTTGACAAGTTAGATTTTGGAGATGGTTCAAGTGGATTCTCCCATGGAATATAACTGAAAAGCAACAAATAACTGTTTTATCTTTTTTACCGAAACTGGATAAATTCTGCCTCTTATTTGGCGACTACATCACTATTGATATGCATATGTATATCCCTTTTTGGATGAAGTACAGGGGTCTATTCTGATGCTCTGGCATTACAAACTAAAACCTCCCAGGAGTTCTCAATCCCTGGGAGGGCTACCAGTGCTGCTTTGTGGTGATAGCAAAAGAAGGGAAAGAGGGGATTCAGACCATTCACATACAATTGCTTGAGCTATCTGGGAAAGGAAAGGAGGATGCACTCTATCAGAGTGCTTTCTTGTTTTTTCTGCACTTGTATTTCATGGTCAAAACTGCCTCCATGGGGATCCCCAAAATTGCCCCCATGGGGATCCCCAAAATTGCCCCCTATCTGGGAGTTTACAGCTGCCAGGGTGGGGGAAAGATATAGAACTATGTCAAACCCGCTATGCTTTAGAGGCATTTTGTGCAAAGCATTTAGTTTGTTTTTGAAATATATACTTACCCTTTCATTGGTGTGAGGATTGTGTGGTTCCCCAATTGCTGCTGAATTTGGATGTCAAACTATGCTCATTATTGGCTAGGGCAGTGATTTCCAAACTGTGTGTCAGGACATGTTAGTATGCTTGCTGCAATGTGTTGGTGAGTTGTGCAAATGTAATGAGAAACCTCTGAGTCTATGTGAAATAAGCAATAAATCATATATTTTTAAATATATATATAAACAAAAGGTTTTCATATCGTGTCCACATACATTTCATTATTACAATTTATGAATGTCCCTGTCCCTTATAAGGGGTTAGGTTTAACCTCTGGTTTGCTAGTAATACTGAATTACTGTTTCACAAACATGAAATGTTTGGAAAGCTCTGGGCTAGGGCTTCGGGCACTGGCTTGCCAACATCTGGAAAACCACGACTCCCACTATCACCTTGTTGTTTTGAACAGTCGTTATCAAAATGACATGCAGCCGAGCTAGGTCTCCAGTTAATAAATGTACAAGATTTCAGAAGGAAAGCATTTAGTGGGGAATCTGTGCTCTTCAGAAACCGTGATATAAAAGCTTGCATTGCATGACTTGAATATCTATGTAAGGATTCGTGAGTAATAAACACTTTTTGTAATTTAGGCTGATTCTTTATACATTATTCCTCGTGGATTTTATTTGCGAGATCCATGTGCTGATCTCGCAAATAAACATCTGAACTTTAAGCAAACATTTTTTTTTCTAAAAACCCAGGACCAAGCAAAAGCTGACCGGCCAGTTTTGCTGCTTTTTCAGTATACTTTATTTATAGTGTTTCTACTCTTGTCAGACAAGTTTCAGAAGGCTGAGGTAGTTCAGTGCAGTTTTCCTCATGCAAACTTCCATTCTGTTCCCCCAACATTTAACATCCACGAGTAAGAGGGGGAAGTTGTTGAGAACTGGCACCAAAGTTCATTTCTCCAATATGCAAAGGACATAAAGGGCAAAGGATGTGCTTTTCTCTCTCACACATCTCAACAAGGTAGTCATAGAATCACAGAATCAAAGAGTTGGAAGAGACCTCATGGGCCATCCAGTCCAACCCCCTGCCAAGAAGCAGGAATATTGCATTCAAATCACCCCTGACAAATGGCCATCCAGCCTCTGCTTAAAAGCTTCCAAAGAAGGAGCCTCCACCACACTCCGGGGCAGAGAGTTCCACTGCTGAACGGCTCTCACAGTCAGGAAGTTCTTCCTCATGTTCAGATGGAATCTCCTCTCTTGTAGTTTGAAGCCATTGTTCCGCGTCCTAGTCTCCAAGGAAGCGGAAAACAAGCTTGCTCCCTCCTCCCTGTGGCTTCCTCTCACATATTTTATACATTTATTATTTATTATTTGCTGCATTTGTTGACCGCCGCTCTCAGCCCTAGGGCGACTCGTGGCGGTGTACAACATATAAAAGG